CCTGTTTGTAGTTGGGGGGGACCCTTCTCTCCTGCGCTGTCCTGGAGTGTGTGTGTGTGTGTTATACCCTTGATAGCTTCTATTTGCAACTGCGCACCTTAAGAGAACAAAAGAACAACGTCACATCCTCCGCGTTCACAATCATTTTATTACGTGAAATAAATCATTTATTTATATAAGAATTTCACCTTTAAATACAATAAAATATTTATAAATACATAGAAACACCTCAAACGTCCCCAAATGTGAGGCCGGAGGGACATCAGCTGGAACATTAGAACATGTTTGCCACATCCATGTAAACCTGCAAGCTTTGCATTCACACCTAGCACCAACGTATTGCGTAGCCCTGTACATTCAGATCAGTCCCTGGCAGAGGAGCTCACGCTCTAATATCCCTGCCATATAGTGATACAGGTGAACACATGCACCAAGCAAGGGTGGGCAACCTCGGCACTCCAGCTGTGGTGCAACCACAAATGCCTGCAACCGTCAAGGGTCTTGCAATGCCACATGGGAGTTGTAGTTCCACAACAGCTGGAGTGCCGAGGTTGCCCAGCCCTGACATGCACACTCTGGAGCAGGGGTAGCCAAACTCCAGCTGAGGCTGAACTGCAAATCCCATGAGGCATTGCAAGATTCTCACAGCCACGGCTCCCGGAGAGAGATGCAACATGGGATTTGTAGTTTCACCAGGTAAATCTGATGTCTGTTAACCAACGATATGTCATGTGGGGGGAATGAACCAGAGCACGGCGGAAATCCTATCCCCAAACATACAGACTCCATGCACATAGTGTCCTTAGGAAGAGTCACCCCCAGGACCCCCAGTTACAGTACAGAGTTGGAGAAGCACCAAGAAAGTCAGTTCAGCTGTGAAAGGGTCTCCTGTGCTCTGAGAAACCGTATAAGGCCTCATGATGTCACTGCTGTGGTATCCATCATGCAGGAGACAAAGGGAGAGACCGTGTGCTGGCAGCCTTGTAAGTGAAAGGCTCATGTTTGCTGGAGACGGTCCCAAAGTTCAACTCGTTGACAGAGGGACATAAAAGTGCTTTATTTTTGGGTTCCTGTTCTGCTTGTATGTGCCCTGGAATTGCCCCTCCACATACGTTATTGTCTTCTGTCGCAGCTGCTGCCTTTACTCCCAAGAGCCTGTCTGCACACTGTGTGGGGAAGAGGCTTTCGGGAGATGTAGTTCTGGCTGCTTTTCCTGCCTCAGTAGGAACGGACATCGCAGCAGCTGCCCCTGGCAAGAATTTTATTAGCCTGATGATGAGTAATAAAATGAACACGGTAAAAAAAAAAACTACAGTGGGAGAGGGAGGTCTGGGGAGGGGGTAAATGTGGGCAATGCCGGATATACCCTTTAAAAAAAAAACAAAAAACCCCCCGAGGGCCTCTGTTTGCACTCGTGCACATTACAGATATTTGTGACCGGAAGGGAAAGGTAAAATAGAATTACACACACGCCTGTCTCTTACGGCACTTTATATACAAAACGGAACCATTCATATCAAACCGCCACCGCAAAGGAGCTTACACTCTAATGCCCACACCGAAACACACACACGTGCGGGTAGAAGCCAATTAACCCACCAGCAGGGATTTGCATCACGGGGGGAGCAAAAATAAAAGGTAGGGAGCTCATCTGTGTGCAACCAAACTCAAGACCCCGGCACCACAAGCCCAAGCAAGCTGCCCATAATGCAATGCTTCCTTCATAACACGGCACGTCCATGGCTGCAGCCTTCTACTGCTTATAAGTAACTCCTCATCCCTAATGGTGGTGTGGCCCTTTAAATTTGTTATCTTTAAAGGGAAATGCACAGAAATGAATTCCATGTGCTGAAGAAGGAAATAAAATACTGTTCCATGTATAACCGTGATTGTCTTTACTTATACTTTTCCTGTCGTGTTACCCCCATGAACACTGCCCCCTACAGGTGGCAGGTGACATTCAGCGTATATTTTAAGCAGACTCCACTCACCCAAAAAAGAAAGTAAGCCAGGACCCCTTATCCCCCCCCCACCTCC